ACCATTCAAGTACAGAATGTTCACACATTCTACCAGCAACTGAAGACCATTCAAGTCCAGAATGTTCACACATTCTACCAGCAACTGAAGACCATTCAAGTACAGAATGTTCACACATTCTACCAGCAACTGAAGACTATTCAAGTACGGAATATTCACACATTCTACCATTCAAGTACGGAATATCCACACATTCTATCATCAACTGAAGACAATTCAAGTACGGAATATTCACATGTTCTACCATCAACTGAATACCATCCAAGTACGGAATATCCACATATTCTATCATCAACTGAAAACCATTCAAGTACAGAATATTCACACGTTCTATCACCAACTGAAGACTATTAAAATACAGAACGTTCACACATTCTACCATCAACAGAAGATATTCAAGTACAACTTGAATATTTGTTTTGAATCTTTAATTATAAAAGTTGGAATTAAAATACATGCATAAAATGTTGTGTATGCGTTTACTTAACCTGTTTTATGCAAGGCTAAATAAAGTATAATTTAAGATCTAAATCATTTCTAAGTCTAATATTTTGGAATAGGTTCAGGGGGCACTTGTCACTTGTCACTTCACTTTGAGCACTTGTCCAAAATGCTATCTTTATTTCCTCTAGTTCTATGTTCTTAAGTGAAGCCAGTGATGGAAGAGCTTCTGCAGTTTTGTACAGAAGAAAAACTGATAATGAACAAACTGAAGTAATAACTTAGTAAGATTTATTTAGCTTTTACGTTATTGATAAACATTTAGTGTCATATTCTGAAATATATTAGAACACTCTTAAAGTGTCACTAACGGATATTCCAATTTAATTTAAGTATTTAATACTAGTATACCCATACTATGTCTTTTCGTATGCTTTAAGCCCTTCAACTATTAAAAATGATTTTATTCCACAGAGATATTCATCTGAGTCTTAGGCACATAAATTGGACATTACCATTACCTGTACACCCTGAGAAAAGCCCTTATTGTGAGTATATAAATTCGATCACTATAAAAAAAGAAAAAGTCAAATGTGCTGTAGTTTTATACAACGTAATTCCAGAAGAAGAAAAAAGTAGACGAAAACTTTAAAAAGTATTCATCGCTTTTGAATTTCATGTAGAAAAATTTGGATATTTTTTAAAAGACAAGAACAAATTTAAAGCCATCGGTATTCTTTTCAAAATTCTCGCAATGCCTAAACCGAAAACATTTCGTCCGACCAAGAAAAACCGAATAAAGTTAACCGAAGAAGAATTTACAACTTCAGCCTAGATTGTATGCAACTGACACAAAATGGATGACGATAATGGCGATTTTATGGTTTCTAGAAATCTAAGACAACGAGAGTGAAATTCCGAAATGATTATTCGCATCATAAAACATCACGAAAGCTCATCATACAACACATCAAGGTTATTCATAACTGCACAAGTGAGAAATGAATCCTTTATGAATGAAGAGAACGTGTTAGAGATAGGCATGAATAATTCAATGTCAGAACATTTCTTTAATTAGATCTGTGGCAGCTAGTATTGGCCGTTTATCATTCTCTGACAAAGAGTAAAACTTCGTATGTTATTTAGGCTTACTGACACGGGTGCTCTAAAGGAGAATGTCAAATGGTGTTTTAATAACTATAGATTTATCTTTAAGAGTCTAGTATGATTCCTTGAGTGCAACAGCTTGTCTTGTTAAGCTCTTAAAATTCAGTTTAGTTGTATCGTAAAGCATTTTATTTAAAATGTGTTTTTCTTGGCAGTATTATGCGTATCAAAAAATCTAAACAAAAATCTATAAAATAAACGTTGTTATGGGTGATTTGTTATCAAGTAGACTCAAATTTCTCGTTTCGTTGATTATCATATTAAATGTTGTGAGTGCTATTCATTATATTTATTTTCTGTTAGCTAGACATTTCCTACAACGGTGTTTTACTTTATAAGTAGTCTGTCTACATTGCTGTAAAAATGATCTTTGAAAATATTGATCCCTAGCTAAGATATACATTGTAGGATTATCAACGTTTTCACTTTATTTCCCTGGCGGCTCTTAAAAAGAATTATAAAACAATTCCTGTTGAAACAATCGCATTAGAATGTTCTTCGTTATCAGTCGTAAATTTGCAATTTTTATCTAAAAAAATAAAAAAAGCTGGTTAAAGATAACTGCATTCTGTTGTTTTCTACTTCCATTTTAACATTGGAATGAGGAAAAAATGTAATGAACATTCATTGTTTGAGACAAACTTCATCTCTAAGCTAACATTTAACAAATATTCTAGAAACTTTGATGCTAATATATATTTATTAGGGGCACAAAGACTGCATTACGAATCCCTAAGTTTTGCCCCTAGTGGCACAGCGGTATTTCTGCGAACTTACAACGCTAGAAACCGGGTTTCGATACCCGTGGTGAGCAGAGCACAGATAGCCCATTGTGTAGCTTTGTGCTTAACTTCAAACAAACAAACTCTAAGTTTTAGTGAAACAAACAGTTTCGGTAAAGTTTGTTCTATTAGACCTACAGTAAATCATAAAATTATATTTATTGTAAGTTTATATAAATTTAACATTCTTAAGACTGCAATATTTTATTAAGATACTCTAACACACGCTATGAAGATTTTTGGTAGATGAAAATTGAATTATTATGATATTATTCCTAAATAATTAAAGGATTTCTAAACAATTGCTTAAGTCTTAAATCATAGCTAAATAAAAATCAAATATTGGAAAAACGCATGTTCTTTGTGATTATAATAACATTTTATCACTATTATAAGAATTATGTATTTCTCACACAAATTACACCTTTCAGTACCTGTAAAAAAGTAGCTGTAGCTTTCATGCCCTTCGCTTGAATTTTCCTTACTCTATCTTTTTCACACAAATTATACCTTTCAGTACCTGTAAAAAAGTAGCTGTAGCTTTCATGCCCTTCGCTTGAATTTTCCTTACTCTATCTTTTTCACACAAATTATACCTTTCAGTACCTGTAAAAAAGTAGCTGTAGCTTTCATGCCCTTCGCTTGAATTTTCCTTACTCTATCTTTTTCTTACACAAATTATACCTTTCAGTACCTGTAAAAAGTAGCTGTAGCTTTCATGCCCTTCGCTTGAATTTTCCTTACTCTATCTTTTTCTCACACGGAATTTCAGGTACGCTTTCTTTGGGTTATCTGTGCTCTGCCTACCACGGGTATCGAAAACCACTTTCTAGCATTTTAAGTCTGCAGATTTTCCGCGGTGCCACTGGGGGGCTACACGGTCAGACAAACAAACTCACGTAGATGTAACTTTATTTAATAACACTACACGCAAAGTAAACAATAAAATATAGTAATGGTATTTACAATACTGTACCGAGTATGAAACAGTTATGAACGTCCAGTTTATGATACAGTTTTACAAGTTGAAACAAAGAAACTAAAAAAAACGAAGAATAAAATCCGTACTAAAAAAAAGTAGCTAAAAGGTGTTTATGGCAATCTATGAAACTAGCCGAAGGTAATTTATAGTAATGTAAAGTTGTAATGAAGGCAAATTTAGCTGAATATGCAGAAACGTCTGAATGCGTGTTCACAAAATGATAAACATGTGGTTTTTAACGAACTGTGCATGCGTATTTTAGACTTAAGTCGAGATAGCTCATAGCGATTGTACTTAGTGTAATGTTAATTTTTAGGCAATTACACTTGGGTTAAGTGTTGTTTGTGTGAATTACTTTGTAAATAAAGACATTAGAGTCGAAAATGAAATCGAAGCCAGTTGAATTCAATTGTCACGTGATGACAACGACATTGTACCATCATGTAACTTACTCGTTGCATCAAGAAGTTTGACTAAGCAAGAAATAGGTAAGGTGATTCTGGATGGGAAAGCCAACATATAACCCAGACTTTTAGAACAAAGGACTTTCCAATAATATAAGATTTATAGCGTTTGATCGAGAATTTTTTGACAAAAGTGACGAACAGGCAAACGATATTCTACAGTATCAAATAGTTTGGGCATAAACTGAGTATTGAAATAGTGCTTTAGAATTCACAATACATGCAAACTGTTAAGACAAGAATAAACTTCGAGTTCACTATAGTATTAATAAAGGTCGTTTAACCGAAGCATTGGCCACACAGTGTTTGACCCCTTGCGTAAAATTTAGCCATTAACTCCTACTTTCACATTGAACTGCACAGTCGAAACATCTAACGTCTATAGTCAATAGATTCATTAATATGATAAAAGAAAATCCCTTGTTGTTCATTTTTAATATCGCAGAATGTACTTTAAAAAACTCTAAAACTTAGATAAATAATCGTTCATACTGGCTTGAATATTAAATCATCTACTGCTGTTCTCTTATCAATTCACTTATAATACTGAAAAGTAATTTAACTCTGGAGGTTAGAACTAAAATAGCTTATAAATTAATTTATGAAGTAACCGATGAGGTAACCAACTGACCAGAAGTGCTTAGTGTGATAAAACAATTTTCGAAAAAGCTAAAACCTATACTGATTAGAATGCATTGAATATAACAATATTTTTGGTTGAAATCCTAATAATAACCCACGAGGTTTAATATTTTTAGTATATCTAATTTAGTCCTAAATCAGCATACGAGGCTAACAATGTAAAATGATCTTTATATTGTAACCCTAATTCAAAGAAGAACATGTAAAACTATGTCATATTCAACGCTGACGAGACCTTCCGCCCAATAACAGGCCTGCTGTGATGGTTAAGGCACTATGTATATCACCAGTCTTGTGAACAACAACAGTTATGATGGAAATAGATTACATTTAAGGATGAGATTATAATTCGTGTATTTCTTTTACTTAAAAACCGATTATTTATTATTATTAGTAGTAGTAGCATTTCATTTGAACTAACTTTACTATCACTCATTAAAACTAACGAACCATTAAGGTAGTCTTCTTCTTCCCGGAGTGGATCCAGCAATTAGTTAGTAAATAAGATATTGTGAGTGAAAGAAAACAATAATATGTTATAATATTTAAACCACACTACATATGTCATATCCAGTTTCGACGAAGCCTTTTGCTCAATGCCAGGGCTCATCAGTCCGGCTGGGATACGACAGACGCTATTTCTATAATAAATTTCATGAACAAAGTTGTTATGGTGTGAACTAGATTAAAATATTTTAAACATTATAACCACAAGATGTACTGAAACTAAGAATAATGAGTAATGAGAAGGTCTTTACTTACAAGTAACAAGTGTTTACTTCTGAGATCAGTACACTTTATCAATACAAATTCCTCTAGAAAAAGTACCGACAGTTCGTACTTACGCTACTAGAGGGATTCAAATTAGACTTTACTGTACACTTTACATTTCACAATATATAACAAGTCAACGACAGTCAAAAACATTACTACATTCTCGTGCTATACAGAAAAGTTCTTATCACCTATCAAATCTTTGTTTTCTTGTCGCTGTCATTGAAGTACGTTTTACCTTTCTCTCGACGCTGTACCTGGAATCAACTTGTGCCCTTGTGGCTTACGCTTCTTTACGTGAGAAATATTTTCACAAGTTCTCGTGTGCCCAGTATATTATTTAGGAAGTTTTATACAGTATATTAATCTACCCTTACCGATGCTATTCACAGTGGAATTGATTTACAGTCGTCTTTGAAACTGGCTTGTCTTAGCCTTTGTATTTCTTTGCTACTTTGCCATAAGTGTGTCTTAGCATCTCTTTGCTACATTGCCACGAGTGTGTCTTACCATCTGTCTGCTACTTTGCCACAAGTGTGTCTTACCATCTGTTTACTACTTTGCCATAAGTGTGTCTTAGCCTTTGCATCTCTTTGCTATACGAATAATCTTTATGAGAAAGAGCTGTGACATATTTCTCCAGTCATAAACATTAACAAATACATTTTATATTTGTATATGTGTGTGTGTGTGCCAGGATGGCACAGTAATTAACATAAACAACTCATTCTTAGAGAGTGCAACCAATACTTCAATTTGTTAGATCATATTTATGTAGTTTTAGTTCTGAACACAGTGTAAGTAAACACCTTTGCAAGTATGATTAACTAATTCGTTCTTGCTCAGTGTTGTAGACTAATACGACGACTAAAGTATTATATTGTACAATTAATTTGTTGATACTAAATACAAATGCATTTTATTTGGCGGCTTGTTTTAAGAGCATTAATGAATTATACTTTATAACATAATGTGATGAATATATTCTACAAACACGCATGTACATAATCTGTTATTTGCACTCAGAAATTACTGTACGAAACTTAAACATGTATTTAGATAAAAGTTTTCATTTTGTTTATTTAAATGGTTTCTTCAACCTCAGTAAACAAGAGAGTAAAGCTGACGTCATTTTCCAATTAAACGAGAAGCTTAAGTTACCATGATTGAACCGTTTTAATCCTTAAGAGTCAGCTGATCGTCAGAATTTCGTGTTATTTTATTTAACTTTTCTATCTTTCAACAAACTTAATAGATCCTTGGTGAAGTATAATGTAAGTAAAATATATATATATAATTGAAGTTATTTTAAAACTGATATCTAAGTTAATTATATCATAAATAAAAACATTTAATATCACGTTTAAATATATCTCAAGACTTGCACTTCTGCAATTAAAAAACTTAATTTTGCTTCTAAACAGTGCGGACAGAAATAAGCTAACGGACGTATTCTCTTGTTTTACACTTTGTGCCTGAGGTTTCGTGTAAATACAAGTTTAACACGCGTCGTCGAGTACAAAGGCAGCCGCTCAGAACAACATCGCATCTATTATATACTTATAACCACGTATATCAGATTTCTATGAAAAATAATCAACTTTAGAATAAGTCACTGACATTCACAGTATTTCATTCAGTACACCTGTGTAGGTCATGGTGCAAAATAATCAGCCGCTTTTGCTATAGGCTTGTGAAAAAAATAATAATAATTTTAGGAACAAATGGGCAAATTTGGATTTTGTCTACAATCGGGAAATTACTTATTTTTCTTATTATCAATGTTTGAGTGGTTTTAAAGAACGAAAAGGAAAGTTGTAAGTGTTGTTTAAAAAACAAGTCTGCTTCTTAAAAGATGATTTTTGCCGGAATGTTCTATTAGAGTTTCGAGCAAATTTCTTTGCGATCTCTATTATGAACCACTATTCTGGTTCATGATAATATTGTGTGAAGATAACACTTTACAGTATGTTAATTAGTTAGCACACAGGATCACCTATAAAAGTTGTAATATTTTCTATATTCTCCTGAAGAAGAATAGTCAACTATTCGAAGGGGCACAAGTTTTGAGTCTCGTTTTGAAAATATTATCACTTTACACTAAAATTCCATTATCTTTCCTAACAAACTGTTGTATTAAAAATGTTTCTATTGTTCATGATAATATTGTGTGAAGATAACAATTTACACTAGAATGTCATTGTCTTTCCTAACAGATTGTTGTATTACACATTTTTCTACGGGTTGAAAGGTTGTCGTGGTTCGTAGCCTATATGGTCACTGAAGTCAAATTTTTAAACAAGTAACGTTTTTTATATAACTAATTATTAGTTACTTTTATCGCACGTTGTGGATGTTAATCTGTTTCCGTCCTCAGATAGATCCTAAGTCTCCTTGTTCCTAACCTGTTTCCGTCTTTACAGAAGTCCTATGTCTTCGTAATGTTGATCTGTTTCCGTCCCCAGATAGATACTATGTCTTCTTAATGTAATCTGTTTCTGTCTTTACAGATAGATCCTATGTCTTCTTGATCCTGTAACGAATTTGTTATTATATATTTATTTTAATATCAAAGTTTCTTTAGATTAATTTAATATTTAGAAACAGTCATAGCTTATAGTGTTTAAAATGTATTGCAAAACTCCCGCCTATTCTCCGAAGTTGGAGAAGATTCTCCAGAGTAAGAATCAATAATATATATATGTACCTAAACGCTTAAATTGTATTGTTATGTAATCTGAATTTTCTAGAAACACTCCACAC